TTTTAGTACTTCAAGAAAATGCAAGAAAATGCAGTACTAAAAAATTAATATAAAATTCTGAAAAAATTCTCAGAGCTCTATGAGAACAAAATAAATAATTTTTATCTCTTGATATTTTTCGGTAAAGTTGATAGAATTCAAGTAAAAAATTATTGAAACCAATAATTTTGTAGATATTTACGTAAATATCTTAGAAAATAGAGGTCGTATAAAAAATTTTTTCAAACAAAAGTTGTTTGCTTTTTTACGTAGAATAAAATGCCGTAATAAAAAATATGTATTTATATTTAAAAAAGCAAAGTTGACCTTGTCCTGACCTTGGCGACGTCATCTTAAGTCAAATAACTACTGTCATTAAATGCGACTTTTTAAGCCTTACAACTTTTATTCGAAACATTTTTCTCTAAAATGCTCCCCCGCCGAGTTTTCTTGCCGTTGCCGAACTTATAGGACACACTGTATAGTGTCTACTTGTGTTGAATACCAGAATATGTAATTATGATAACCAGAAATTTTGTTTAGTTCAACCAACAGTCGTTGATCAGTCGCATATCACGTTCATCTACAACATGCTTTCTGGTCTTAATAAGCAGACACTTGTATATTATTGGTATTATTCGTATAACTAGATTAGCAACTAAACTTTGTTGTTCTAAATGTTTTAAGTGGCTGTCAGAATATTTCATTATAATAACAAAAAATGTTCTATTTAGTTCAATTAAATTACATCAAACATATCACATTAATCTTTTCTTTCTCTCGCTCCTACACTCATTCTCTTTTTTGTTCTTTCTTCAGATCGTCAATCTCGCACTGTAGAACAAATTCGTTGGGCTATAAATTTCCTGTAAATTTACAAGACATTTAGCGCAACCATGAACGGCCCAAGAACCGCAATCCAATCCTTTTACAAAGACAAGGTCATTTTTGTCACCGGCGCTTCCGGTTTCATGGGGAAAGTACTCTTGGAGAAGCTACTGTACAGCTGTTCCGATCTCGATAAAATCTATATCCTCATACGAGTCAAGAAAGAACGCAGTATTGAACTTCGGGTCGACGACATGTTTAAGCTGCCCGTAAGAGATTACAGTAATTATGCATTACCGTACGTTGGTTTCGACATGTTAAACGTGACGTTATTATGTTTGATTGAAAATGTAAGATGCTCGGAAACTAAAGAGCGACGATGGCTAGGCTTGTGTGAAACAATACTCGATTAAACGCGACTAATTTTTGAAATAGGACTTGATTTCTTCTCTTCGAAATAAAAGTTGTAGGTTTTGTTCTCAAAATATTTCTTAAAATTGTCTTTCGCATAACAGACTAAAGATATGAAGTTTCAAAATTTTATTAATTATTGCTACAGATGTTTCGCAGAATATGTCAGGAGAAAAGTCACATGTTAAAGAAGGTAAAGCCGCTGGAGGGCGACATAAGTTTACACAATCTGGGGCTTACCGATAATCAGCGGGGAACGTTAATAAACGAGGTGCACATAGTATTCCACTTTGCCGCGATTCTTCAAATGCAGGCAAAATTGAAGGACTCCGTCGAATTAAACATGGTAAGATATCACTCGAAAAAGTACCGTTTATTTGTTCTCTTGTATGCTTAATTAATTATCCTTAACCCTTTAAATGTTGAGCAGGGCTACGGAAAACTTAGCGAAATTGTTGTATATTTTGTCTGTAAATAGCAATGTTAAGTATAATGGAGATATGTTAGTTTTCTAAATTTAAAGTAATAAAGCTATCGACAGAAACTAGTGCTAACAAGCTGAGAAAGTAACATGCAAATGAGAGTCTTTGAAGAGGACGACGGTGGTATCATAATAAACTCTGAACGCATGTATATGTTTATAACGTTCAAGGAATTAATAATCGTGCGTGTTGAACTTTCTCGACTAGATACTAAAGTTCTACAAATGTAACTCGTTATTCGACTTACAAGAAAACCCACACAAGTGTCCGCCTCTGATTTTCATGAACTTATAATATGTTGTACTTTAGATCAAAATAGCAGATACGTTTTTTATTATATGTATCCTTTGGCAAATTTAAAGGATGAAATACCTCTATGAAGAAAATCGGTTTTTTTTTCATTCAAAGGGAATATAATGAAAACTATAAGAGAAAAAATATTTTGAATAAAAGTTTTGAATGGTTTTAAGAGTACTTTACAGAAATTATTTGAAAAAAAAATTTTTATTTGTTTGTTAATATTTCCCCCACTACTTCTTTTTACTATAATTATTAAAATAATTTATGTAAAGTACTCGTCAAGCCATTTAACTCTTATTCAAAATATTTTTTCCTATCTCTTATAGTTTTCATTATATTTCCTTCGAATAAAAAAAACCGATTTTCTTTAAAAGGGTATTTCATCCCCTAAACTTGCGAAAGGGCACATATAATAAAAAACGTATGTGTTATTGTGATCTAAAGTACAACATATTACAAGTTCATGAAAATCGGAGGCGGACACTTATGTGAGTTTCCTTGTTAAATTCCTTCTGCTTTGTGCGACTAATGCATACATCTCTGTATTGTTATTCATGATTTTATTCTACTCGACTTATTCATCATTTGGTGGACAATCAATTCCAACCTATTCGAATCTGTTCGTGATTTTATAAACTATAGAATAGCAACAGTATTAATTTATAATAAACATAAAGAATTTTCAACGAACGGGCAGTAGAGTGACAGATTTAATTATGATATTCTTGCATATTCTTGCATATGCTCTAATTATTCTACGCTATTTTTATAAAACGTATAAATAAACAAGATTCGATTTGTACTCTTCAAGATCGGCACAAGGAGGGTATTGGACTTGACTAAGCAGATGAAACATTTGCAAGTGTTCTTGCACCTAAGCACTGCTTTCTGTCACGTCGATCAGATGGAACTTACCGAAGATGTCTACGACGCCCCTCATGATCCAGACGACATTATTAGACTCGTTCAGTGGATGAATGAGAGGACCATTGATTTGATTACACCTCAGTAATTGTATTTAATTAATAATCTTCAGTAATAGAGAACGATCGGCTTTAAGCTGAATATTAATGCCGCCTTGCGTTGACATTCAATTGTCGCTCGTAGTAAATATATGCGTCTACTTAAGCATTTAGAGACAACATGCATTACATTACGTCTGAGCCGTAAAAACGTGATTCCATCGCAAGGAGTTAACTACAACAAGTTAAATCATGAAATTATAATTAATGATTATACGAGAGCAGTGTTATCAACATAAATATATTAGGAATCCCTGATGAAAATATTTTACTGAAAATCTCTTTGAATTGGCCCCTTTTCATTAAAATTTATTACATTCATATAAAATTCATTAAGATTCTTCAAGATTAATTCAAATTTATTAAAATTTATTGAAAATCATTAAAATTCTCTCTCTTTCTCTCATTAAAGTCCGTAAAATTTATTTTATTGTTATATAACAATAAAAGTAATTTTATGAATTTTAATAAATCTTAATGAATTTTACGAATTTTAATTGATTTAAAAAAAAATGAATTTTTCTGAATTTTAATGAATTTTAATGAGTTTTTATGAATTTTAATGAATTTTAATGAATTTTTATTAATCTTTAAAAATATTAATAAGTTTTAATGAAAAGGGATCAATTGAAAGATATTTAATAAATATTTTAATAAAATATTTCCATTAGGGATGATCTTTTATCGGACGACTAAAATGGCGAAATTAATGTATTTCGGATGGCGAAATTAATGTATTTCGCCATAGTGGAAATTTCGCGGCTCCATAATTGTACTCTCTTTCTTTTTCTAATTTCTTCTTCTGATCATAGATTATTGGGTTTGCATCCGAATACTTACACCTACACGAAATGTTTGGCCGAAACGCAGGTGGCCAGAGAATATCCCAACCTCCCTTGCGTCATCGCCAGGCCGTCGATCGGTAACTATACGTATTTCGATAACTGTCAGAGATAGCAGATGATGCACAACAAGAGGAAACGGATCGTTCAATTGATTTTCTTTTTTTTTATCTTGTCGTGCAGTAACTCCTGCCGTCAAGCAGCCGTTGTCGGGATGGGTCGACAATCTGAACGGTGTAACGGGGATATTGGTTGCTGGGGGCAAGGGTCTCCTCAGAACGATGCTTTGCAACACTCAGAACCGCGCTGAAATCATACCAGTCGACTTTGCGATTAATTCCATAATTGGAATTAGCCACAAAGTGGCTACCCAAGAGAAGTGAGTACCTTTTGTGAGAAGTGAGTACCTCGCTCTTTTTTTCTCTTAGTTTTTCTGCGATAACGAAATATCGTTGCGTTCGTTGAACTTTACGTTAAGAATATTCCAACTATCCTTTTCTATCAATCCTTCCTCTTGTGCTCCTCTGTTCTAATCTAACTTAATGTAATATCTTCCTATCTCTCTTTCTCTTCCTATCGCATTTCTCTTCCTTTGAATGATCAGATTGAAAGCTGTGCCGTAAAATATTTCACGCGCAGTATATTTTTGCGTAAAATCAGCGTCATCGTGATATAACGATCTATTATGAGAGATAAACGTCACATATGTGTGACAGCAAACATTTTTTCTTCTATGTCTTCATATTTCTAAATTAATTTTATTTTGACACATTAAACACATTAACATAATAAAAAAAATCACATGTTGTGCGGGGAGAGTTTTCAAAGTTAATCCTAATGGCGACAATTTAAGCCCACCCACACAACAATGTGACGTCTTAAAATTCTTCAGACTTCTTCAGTCTTTATGACGTCTTTAAAACGTCTTTTAAACACGCATATTGTATGGGTACTTAAGCTTATAATTTAAGCTTAAGGGGACTGAACGGTCAGATTGCCTGAAAATCGTGCTTGCTCTTTCACAATTTTTTATGACAAACTGAATGAATATGCGAAAGTGTTATTTTGAGGTATATTTATACAACATATAAAGAAAATAAAAATATAATTTTGATGATAAAATACTCAATATAAGTGTATGGTACATGCAGTTAAAATATATTTCGTTTTTCTTTTCAAGGTCGTCACTTTGCAGTAATATCTTGACTCTCGGTGGTTCAACTAAGCTAAATTTTAGGTAGAAAATTTCCGTAAGCTTGTCGTTATCGTGTGAACCACTATAATAGAAACTGAGTAAAAGTTAACAAAATTGCAAATATCTTAATAGAATATTATTAAATTTTCAGTTCTTTTATAATAAAAAAATTTATATTTTAAAATTAAATATTTTTACGAATTTGTCAGTGGTTTACACGATAACGACAAGCTTACGGAAATTTTCTACCTAAAATTCAGCTTAGTTGAACCACCGAGAGTCAAGATATTACTGCAAAGTGATGACCTTGAAAAAAAAAACGAAATATATTTTTAACTGCATGTATCATACACTTATATTTGATCATCAAAATTATATTTTTCTTCTCTTTATATGTTGTATAAATACACCTCAAAATAATACTTTCGCATATTCATTCAGTTTGTCATAAAAAATTGTGAAAGAGCAAGCACGATTTTCAGGCAATCTGACCCTCCAATCCCCTTAAGAGAGTAACCTGAAAACACGTTAGAAATTACAATTTGTCCCGTTTAATTTCTCGACAGACCGAAAAGTATACCAGTTTACAATATAACGCAGAGCGGCATATTACCGATAACGTGGGGCGAGTTATTGGGATTAGGCAGAAACCTTATTTATCAGTATCCCTTCGAAGGACAGCTTTGGTACCCGGGCGGCGATCCGCGTACTAACAAAATTGTGCATTACCTGTTGGTCTTCTTTTTCCACATCATCCCTGCGTATTTGTTCGACTTTCTGATGTTGATATTTCGGCAAAAAAGATTGTAAGTGTTGCACGTTTTCAGTTCAATGTCTGTTGACATATCGACGTTTTGAAAATGTTTAACTGTATCACATTATCTTCCCTTTTTCTGCCGCGCATATCGAATAGTATGATCAGAACCCAAAAGCGAATTTCAAACGGCATAACGTTACTGCAATATTTCACTATGAGGGATTGGGCATTTGACAATACCAAACTATTGATTATGCGCGACGAAATGTCGCCAGAGGACAAGAAGACTTTTCAAATGGATTTGGAACTATTGGACATAAATGAATATGTAAAGATTTTTATTCTTGGGACACGACAGTACTGCATGAAAGAGAATTTGTCTAGTTTGCCGAAAGCTCGTCGACATCAGGCAAGGTGAGTATTTTTCATTTGAATTAGTTTCTATTTTTAAGTTTTCGAGAGTTTCCGAAAAAATGTATGCACATCTATCACAACGGAAAGGCTAAGACCAATTTCCTCAGCTTATTTTGAAAGCTTACATCAGACTTTCGTGACGTATATCTATTTCAGAATGTACATTGTACATCTCTCCATGAAATTTCTCTTCTACTTTGGCATACTGCACCTCATTTACAATAATTTGGAGATAGTAAGATACGGCCTGGACTTCGCTACCCAACAGATGTAGTCATTGCTGATCGCAGGCATCGTCGTGAAAAACGTTCAACTTTGATACTCACTGGCACGTTCAATTTCCGCCAGTACAGAGACCGGTATAAGCTAGCTTTAACACCTGAAGTTACATTCTAGAGCTGAAGTTACTTTCTAGAGCTAATAAGTATATTTTTTACCCAAAAACTGCCAAGAGAAGCTTACCAAAACAAGCGCTCGCGTCTCACAAAAAAGCTAGTCCTGCCCAGTTCGCAATTAGATGCATTAAAATTTACCAATTGATACGGATATTACAAATTAATTACAAATAAATATATATAAATAATAAATAACGTATTATAAGCAATATAATATATTATATATAAGCTGACGTCAAAAGCTAGCAATTTGAGATACTAAATATTTTGGTTTATTTGTGGAAGTCCAGACTTAAAAACACTTGACGTGCTCAAAATATACACAAACGTGTTAAAACACGTATTTTAATCAATTGTACACTTTATATCTGGTGTGTTAAAATATTTTACAGATTTAGAATGAAGATTGATATTTTTCTAAAAGCTTATACATAGGTCGAATCCGTATTGTATACTAAGTTTTTCAGGTCTCGATTTTTGAAATTACAACATTGAAGAAGTTTTTAAACAATGTTATATTTTAAGATTTAACAATATTATATTTTTAGATTTATATTCCATAAATGTGTGTGTGTAAAATGTTTTACATATATATACATATAACGATATTTCCTTTTGTGTAGTTCTATTCGTATAGAAAAACGCGTGAATTATTTTCACTTGGCCTAATTACATGATACCGCTCTTTTTGTAGAAATTAGAAATTTAAAAAATAACATTGTTAACATTTTTAGATGTGTTTTTTTATAAATAAAATATTTTTATAGAAGCATTAGCTTCTATACGGTTCTATTTGTGCGAACTTGTGCGTTAACTAGACATCTTTTTTTACCTTTTTCTATATAAAAGGTAGGTCTGTAACACATATCTTTATCACATAAGACATCATAAGACATTTTTTATAAATAAAAAATAGAAGAAGTTCCAACTCTTGTCATATTTTTTTGATACGACGTCCTCTTTTTTTAATTTAATATTTCTTATTAACGTTCTTAGAAAAATTTATTATCTTATAAATAAAATATTTTTTGTAAGTTAGTTATTAGTTTTTGTACAAAAATAGGTCTGTTTTTAAACAATAACGATATACGTTGATATACGTTAAGACTTTGCTGAAAAAAGGGAAGAGAAATCGTGCAAGTTAGAATAACTGGTTCAGCAATAGAAAACAAATCCAATGGCTAATAAAGGAATTATCGTAACTTGTGGCGCGGCTATATTAGAATTAATGAAAACAACTTTAGATAGCTTACATTCAAATGACAGCAATGACAAAACAGATAGAATGACTAAGGAGGTAAATGTTGTTGAAGCTTGGATAAAAGTTGATAATCGAAGTTGCTATGAAATTAGAAAACTACAAGGCTGAGTCAGATCGAAAATATTACTTAAAAATTCCATCAAATGTAACAAATTGTCCGAATCCACTCTGACATTTTAAGGCAAGAAATCTTCCACCCAAGATCTATCCAACAGAGTTTTCGAACGATCCCATCGTTGTCACTTGGATGTAACTCGAAGGTTTTCGAACGGCGCGAGATGCACCCGCGTGAAGTTTCTGAAGACAGCTACACTGTAAAAAATCTTGCATACGTAAACAAATGTTCCAAAAAGTCCACTCTAAATTTTGTGTTGAAAATAACAAAATCATATGTTCATTCGTGTGTTATTTAAATTATGTACTAGTTTATACATAATGTAAATAACACGAATGAACATATGAATGAGTTATTTTCAACACAAAATTTAGGATGGACTTTTTGGAACATTTGTGTACGCAAGATTTTTTACAATATAATATAATAGAATGTATAATAGGGTGTATAATAAAGTGTATAATAAAATAGGAGCTATAATATGTGAAAAAGTTCTAGTTAAGAAACTGCAAAAGTCACCCAAAAAACCGCCCCACTGTAAGGGTTAACGAGTATTTGTAAAATATCTTTTGATGGTATATATGAAGGAAGATACTTTATAAAATAAACAATTTATTTTAATAAAATAATAATACATTATCTGCGTAATTTATATTTTATGCTAGTTTTTGATTAGTGTGGAAATAGAAATAATAAGAATATTATTATAATTTTCGCTTACAATTTAAGTAAAGACGGATTATGAATGCTTGCAAGATAGGATATAATTTCCATTGCGATATTAGGTTTAAATTTAATACAATCGTGATAAATAATTTCCTATTTCGGGATGGAGATACAACACGCACAATCATGCTACAAATCGCTATGCCCAATAGTCTATTTGTACACAGATTGTCCTTTCATAACCCTAACCCTCTTTGTTGTTCTTTGCTTACGCATTTTAATGTACTCTTACATAATAATATATACGCCATAGTGTTAGTACGAGATTGGAAACATAGATTTATGCTTTTAACATATCGTCACACTCATCTGCTAAGGTACACATTGTAATTGCTTTAATAATATACTAACGGTGGGAAAAGGAAGAATTCGTTATACGATGAGATCTTATGCCACGCATGCCATTATATATCGCCCAGCATAACGGCAAATAGGGAAATTTGTAATAGCTATAACGCAAGATAGAGTATACGTCTCCTATTCATTTTACGTTAAATATTGACATCTGATATTTACTAAAATAAATAGTAGCTCTGCATTTGACTTAGGATTACAGCGATTCATAGATTCTTTTCATACAGCTAACAATGACGATTATCATAGAAAAATAAAATATTGTCCTTTTAAGCCAACGAATGCTATACGTATATGTGTGTTTGTGTGTGTGTCTGTGCTGTGTGCGTGCGCGTGTATGTGAGTGTGTGTGTATGTGTAAATTGGAACTGTGGGAGAACAATTTCCACGCAGCAAGCATATATGAGATTGTTACTCATAAAGAAACACTGTACCTCTAAAGATGTCATATATATATATATAAATGTGAGAAACATACAACTGAATTTGTATGCTTGCACAGCTCATGCTATTGACTTTCTTATATTGATAACAAAAGCGGAGCCCATAATTGGGAGATACAATCAATATAAACGAGAATAATCTAACGCAATAATTCGCGTATACATTTAAAAGCATTGAAATTGTCTCAACCAAGATAAAGCTATCGTAATTTATCACACAACACAAGAACAATTATATCGAATTATATAAATTATATGAATTATATAAAAACAAAATTACGCAGACGGATTACTTTCTTTGGAAGATCGAGAAATATACTTTACGATCAACTATTTTTTTTTCTCTCTCGTAATAAGAATCTCGATAAAATATTATCACGCGTAAAACAGTTTGCAAGGAACTTGTTAATTGTCACCGTTGGACTTACCTCCTTGGAATTAACAGGCGAACCATATAAATGCGAACACGAGGTTCTTAATTACGGCGACCGTGTTCGTTACAGTGTCGTCGATTCAATTCCAGGAGGAGATAATAACCGGCGGTCATAATAGAAATCACCCGACCTATCACGAATCCGTTCCTCGTGTGTACAAAATGAACATATTCTGCGGACAACATCGCCTACTACTTACGCCTTGTGTGTACTAAGAGGAATGCATAAGTAAAACCTCTGCGTGATACACAATTGTATAATTATACGATAATACTGCACAACTCTCTCCACGTGTACGTCCGATCGATAATAAACAGAGTCGAAACAGCGGTGTGTAGACCGTTCCAAATAAGTCGTAGTTTTACTTTCAAGGGAATACTGTCGCGGAGAATGGATTTTTTGATGTACAGAGTGTCTGACGCGAGAGGGCCAAAAGGTAGGTACCTGTAGACCAGGTAGACCCATCTCGTGTCGGATACGCTGCGTACCGCCGCCTGGACAGCGCGCGTACCCATTACGGACATCCGCGAATACTCATTGGATATATTGAGAAAAAAATACTCGGAAATTTAGTTATGGGATATAAAGTTTACTTCTGCGAAATAAAGTTTATCTCCCAAAAGCGGATTCCATAACTGGGAAATAAATTAATTTAAACGAGAATAATCTGACGCAATAATTCGCGTATACATTTAAAAACATTGAAATTGTCTCAACCAAGATAAAGCTATCGTAATTTATCACACAAGAGTAATTATATTGAATTATATAAATTATATGGATTATATAAAAACAAAATTACGCAGACGGATTTCCGCGAAATAAAGTTCTTCTGTGAGAGAAAATTTGTAAATAAAGTGTACAAAAAATCGTTGATAAAACGTTTCGACAATATTCGCAACAATAGCGTATAATATTCTCTAATATGTACACTGAGAAAAAGACGCTTGACAATTTATTTGTGGGATAAAAGTTTATTTCAGAGAATTATTCTTTATTTTATCGAAACTTCATTTCACAGAAATTGACTTTATATCTCCCAGACGAATTTTTAAGTTTTTTCTCAGTGTAATTCCTAACGTCGTCATCACTACAAGTATCACTTCGGCACTTCAATACTTCTAAAAATATTTTTAGAAATGTTCAAAGAAATTATGTGTTATCCCTCTAGTAGCATATATTGATTTTTTACATACGTTTTCTAAACGTATGTAACATTTCGTAATTGTTTATAAAACATTTCGGAAACGTTTCTAAATCATGCGCCCTGCTTAGGATTCGATAATATCTTTGGAATATTCTTAAAATATCTATATAGCACAAAAGTTAACGTGTGCATATGCTATAGTATCTAAATTAAATTGCTTCGCATGGGAAATAAAAAGTTTATTTCTGCAAATAAATTTTATATCCCGCAAGTAAATTTTCAAAAAGATTTTTCTCAGTGTACGCGGCCGCGGGTAGCCTAAATGACGAGCCATAGAAAAATAATGACGATCGTGCGGCACACCTGCTCCTGCTATGAAAGTACAAACTATAGTACGTTCGCGACGTTAGAAAACGGGTGTTCTCAGACAGACGCGATCTCGTTTGCCGATTGATCAATCCCATCTCCGACTACCCTTGGATCTCTTCCCTTCCTCTCTCCCTCACTCCTTCCTTCCTTCCTTCCGTTTCCTCTCACTCACACACGAAACCGCGATCGACAGTCTAATAATTCTCGGCGCTAGAAGAACCGATGTCGCATTCCGTGACGTGAAAGAAAAAAAAATGGTACAAATTATTCCTTTTGCACAACGCTTTTTCTAATGCAATTAACACGCCCGCTACCAACGTCACATATGTGTGACATATGTGTTGCAAAAATTCTCTTTTTATATCTACATTATATCAAACTGAGTCTATTTTACATAAAAAAAAAGAATTTTACGTAAAAAACTATTTTACGTAAAAAAAAAGAAGAATTATATAAGATTGTCTGTGGAAGAGAGTCCTCCAAATAAATTATGGTAGCGAGCATGTTAAATAAAGAGTGCAATCCCTGATATTTGCAGGATGGAATTCTTTTCGAAGAGGCGTATCGCCGTTTATCGCGAGACCAGTTCGATCGATAAGCTCGACGATGATGATGCGACCGTAACAAAACGCAGGTACTAAATCCGCCCGCATAAAAACGCGACCCTCGCGTCGACTTGTTTGCGGCTTCGATTTTTCATGCCTACTGCGTAGGCGGGCGGAGATACTAGCGTTCTAGAATTAAAGGACGCGACATCGGTCGTTCTGGTACTAAAGGTTTCGAATCGATCGCCTTCGCGCAACGCGTCGCCCCTCGCGCCATATATAAGTATTAAAGTTGTATACACTCAATATATGGATAAACGTTTCCGAGATATGGTACATTAACAGTGAGCTAAGCACCAGGGAAGATTTCTCCAAATCGCGCGATGGTATTTCTCTACTTTACTGAAGCTATATGTGGTCCTCTTCTTTGTTGTTGATCTGCGCCGGCGTCGCCGGTGTCGGGTCGTCGTGGAACATCGGATTCTTCACTTCCATCTCGCCCGTCTTCAGCACAGAGAAAAAGAGAATCATTGTGTTAGAATAAAATTTGTATTTTACTATCTTGCAAATAATCGATTTTTAGTATTTAATTAAAAAAGACTGAGTGCATATGATTGTGTGCGACAATATACCAATCTACTGTATTGTACGTGATCATTCATCAATTTGCTTTAATTGGTAACTCAAAATTTCATGCGATTGTTTGCAAAGTGGTGAAAAAATTTTCAGTTTGATGAGTTCTACTTCCACACAACGAGTTTTTAGGACAATTATAAAATATTAGGCGAAAACATTCAAGAGATACACATAAAATCAGCATTCCAAGATGTTAATCTAACGTTCTATATTTACTGGAACCGCGTAATACGTTAATTGTTTGCCGTAAAAAAATAGAAACTCACCGCAGCAAGTCCTGGACACTCATAAACGGTGTAATCACCCTCCTCGTTCTCCTCGTCGCTCTCCGCTTCCGAGAGGGAGCCCGGATCCCTCGTTGCAGAAGTCCGACTGCAAAAAGTTAATTAACTAACATCAAGTAATTAATATACCGCGGAATCGCGTGTGTATGCATCTACTTTTTTATCCTTGAAATATATCAAACCGACAAGATGTTTTTCCCAGTAAACAAGCAGAGAATGAACTTGGGTCACGAACTCACTTTTCCATGGCGATGATTTGCTGCTTCTGATGTTGGAAGTGGTACATCTGTGCAGACTGGGCGAGCCTCTGGTCGCCGGACGGCGACACGTCCTTGTTCGGTCCAGTCACACCGTATGCGGGATACTCGATGTCCGCCGCAGCTTTTGCGCCGCGTTGCAGTCTAAAAAAAGATAGGAAAGAAAAATGAAAAAGTAAGTTGCCGACTGGCGAGCAGCGGATCGTTATAATTGGCATTACCTGCACCACGTTAAGCTGATCAATACCAGAGCGAACATCGCTGCTGCACTGCAACCGGCGACTACGGCTGAAAACAAATCACCACTTTTAATCGCGTCGCTCTGTTTTAGAATTCAAACTTACAAGCTATTTTTGTAGTTTTTGATGCCACAGGTCCGCATAGACGGATTACTTTGTGGTGTCATCAGAGAAACGCCACAAGCCCGTACAGACTCTGAGTACTCTGTGGCGGCACAAAAAAGCGCTTTAGAACGATATACAGGGTGTCCATCTAACTTGAGCATCTTAAATATCTCGTTTATTTTTTATGATAGGAGGATGTCAAAGGGGGACATTATTATCAGTTCGAGGAGACAAATAAAGAAAAAAAAGAAATTTTCTCAAGGTCATATTTTTTTAGGATTTCAAGATCATTGTCATTTTTTTACATATAAAACTACATATTTTTATCATCGCGATGTGATAGCTAAGGTCAAGACGAATTCAACGATCTATAATATTATTCATGTATCTCCTCGAACTGAATAATGTCCCTCTTTTATCCTCCTATCATAAAAAATAAGCGAGATATTTAAAATGTTCAAGTTAGGTGGGACATCCTGTATATAAAAGCGCAAACCCGTTACAAGATCCGAAGAACATAAAGTTTCGATGTAACATGGAATCTTTGTGCCTTTATGTTCTGTGTTCTAGCAATCTCGCTTGATGCTTACCGATGAAATAAATGTCGCTGTTCAAGTCGTCGTCATTTACGCGCACGATCAACGGATGCGCCGCAGAGCTTTCCTCCTCTAACGTGTGGACTGCGGTCAACAAGTCCTTCGATGTCTTCCGGTTGAGATCCAGAGTGTTGTCTTCGTGCTTGGTCAATACCCGCTCCTCCTTATTCATCGCCGCTTTCTCCTCATTCGGATCCACTCCTGGCGCATCTTGCTCATACGATTCGTCTACGAGTTATACATGAGCGTTCAACGTGCCATTCATGCTCCTCGAGGAGAAACGAAAGGGTAAGGGCGACCATTGAAAACTACTCTTATGGGACGGAGGTCAAGCTATTATTACAAAAAAGAATGGCTAAAAATATATCGAACGAGGAATTGTCGAGACGCTTATGCAGTATAATGCTTGTACCATTCTAATTCCCAAAAAGGAATTGAAAAAAAAATCGAATCAATTTGCTTATATATATGATCAAATTTCTCCAAGAGACATTCTGAATCCTAATAAGTTTCAAGATTAAGAATATTAAAGAGAAACAAAAATTTAGTTTGCTTGTTATACAGAACTACGTTAAGCCAACTTCTTCCTCGATAAAACTGTTTAGTATTCTTATAAAAAGAATAAATTCTTCTTTTGTATACAAAATGAGTGACGGTTAAAACCTTTTGAAGGCTACTCAAGAAGGGACTTCTATAATATATCCCAAAATCAAAATTAATGAAGGTCAGTCCTAAATAGCAGTCTTATCTTAATATTTTCTTACGGCAACTATATTTAACCAAGTGATATATTTCTAGTGTTTTCTCCGCCTATTTTATATTATATTAATAAATAATTATTAATAAATAATTATTTTATATTAAATTAATAAATATTATATACATTGAGAGAAAAATATTTAATCGTGAGTACTGAGAGAGAGAGATAACATATTTACTCTAATATAAAATATTTTTCAAACAAAAAATATATATATCTTCTTAAAACCTAAGCCTTTCATGAAAGTGATCGTTTATTCTATTTAAATAAAACAATTTATATTTAAGTTAATATTAATATATTACTCACCGAACCTATACAGCATAAATATCCAAAAGATATCTTAGAGATGTTTGAGCGATATCCTATTTCTTTCAGATGTCTTTAAGATATCTGCAAGACGTATTTTAGACATTTGTGCTGTTTAGGAATAAATATCTTTATATTCTTTAAATATTCTTTCTCTCAGGGTATGTACTTGTATCTATATACATAAAATATGTATATTCACCCAACGTGAAGGGCGCGTTGCTGTAGTATCTGGGATCGTTCGGCTTCACCGCGAACGGATGCTTCTCCTGGAGGTTCGACTTGTCGAACCTGAACGTTATTAACGTATCGCGGTCGATCGCCGCCGGCCGCGCGGTATTTTCTCTACCTCCCTCGTGCAACACGATCGCGTGGTCACCTTCCATCCACTTGCCGCGGAAGTCCAGCTCCGCCACCGCGTCTCCGTTCGCGTCCGGGAAGGCCTGTCCATATCCGAGACTATCCCCGTAACTCTGGCTGTCATCCTCACTCGACTTCATCTCGGGATAGTCCAGTTTGTAGTAATTCATGAGGTAATCCTGCCCCGACATATCATTGATCGGATAGTATTGTTGGTGGTAATGCCGCGGCCACGTCCTCAGCTTCTGCTGCCTGCGCAAGTTCTCCAGAGTGGTCTTTTTCAGCGTCTCCAGGAGCTCGCGCTGCTTCTGGCGGTCCAGCTGCACGCTGTGCTGCTTCTTGTGCATCGGCGAGCGGAACGGCGACGGGTGCAGGTACTGCTGAAGACGCTGCGCCTTCAGGTAGCGGGCTAGGTACTTGAGCGCGATGTCCTCCGACGTTTCCGGGAGCACATCTGCGCAATGTCCCCGATTATGGGCTTTTGCACTAAATGCGTGATGAAAACGCGAAGTTTTTCAATCAAGACTCCGGAAAGTTCGTCGCGTAATACGTGATAGCGCTCTGGAAAACTTCGGGTGGATACATAAGAGATTCGTATTGCAATTTGCTCGATAAGAAAGTTGCCCAAACATTGTACAATAATCGCAGTATGAAATCAAATGTAATTTTGCAATGTTTGCGTTAAGATTCGCCATTATGCAGCGTTTTTGTCGGAATATAATTTCACAGTGAGATTTGTCCCAAATTAGACAAATGTAATTCGAGATATTTACTTGGGATCTCCTTGCACAATTATTTCAGTATGTAAAAACAAAGTCACAATTCCAAATATTTTTCAAATGTAATATAGCAATAACGTTCTTTAATATTTGTAGCGCTTTCAGACAAAATATTTCAGCAGCATTACAAATTTCACTCAGACTTCGTCATATAATTTCATAAGTTTTCTCCTACTAGAACTGCTAATCGTATTAGCTTTAATCTTGCTTCAAACGTAAATCTTATCGTGTCTACGTTAATCCTGCGCAATAAATGTTGCATAAGAGACGGAGGATCATGAATTATACGGCCGTAGATCAAAGTTGCATCGAGTTCGGATTGTTATCGTCGCACTTCCTACCGTTTTCGTTAGCTTGCAAATGAGCTTCCTGCGGGCGAGATACAGAGCCTTCCGCGATAACGCTGCATAGCATAATCACCCGCACGCGTCTATCGAAATCGCTCTAGCGGTATGCACAATTGTACGCTCGCAGAAATCGTTACGTCGACCGCCGGTGGAGATTCCATCGAGTTTTAATCAGTTTTAATAAAGTCGCAAACAAGATCCCGTAATTTACTCTCTATTTTCCAGTTTGTTTTTGACCTTTAAGGTTCAATTACTTGTGCGATCTTAAAGGTGGAAGGTATAGGATATCGTCCCGAGTTACTTCTTCTCGCCATTCTCGCAATTTTCCGCGAAACTTTAAATCCTGACGACATAAAATAAAATTACCAACGCCCCGACACGCGTATCCAATCCTGAACGTTCTTATTGTTTTGGCCTTTAAATACGAACGTTTAAATTCTCAACAGAAAAGAAGAAAATATATACACATATATTCTATGTCGAAAGTTGAAATATTTGTATTTAAAGATTAAAATAATAAGAATGTCCAAGATAAGTACGCGTCAGGACATTGGTACCTTTATCTTGATTACTTTTCATCTTGTACAGTTAATTATTTTCACTTTTCTCCGGAGATCCTGAATTGTACTTAATTGTTGTGTAAAAAGAACGTTTCTCAACATGTCACACTGAATCGTCATTTTAAATACAACTTTTAGTCGTCAACGCGGAACAGATAGCCGAGTCAAGCACGACGATAATGATGTTGGTTATCAGTTGGTTGTCAGCTGGCTGACAACACGCTTATTTTGCGGTTTTTCTCTACTGCCCTTTGCCATGTCACCGTGTCACAGTCCTGAGCGGAAATCTTACAGGAAAAAATAAGTTCGGCGTTCTACCAAGAAATCGGTACCGTTGTCGAACGAACTCTCTTCTCCCTAACATATTTTTCTGTCCTCAAACCGACTGAGATCCAGAAACTAGTTGACTCGCACGGAACGTCCTGCAGACAAGGTAATGTAAACGTTCAATGGATTAACTGCCCGTTGACCCTCAGCAGGACACAGTCCCGAAAGGCTACAAGTGGGTCCTTCAACGGCGTCCCCGTGTCATTCCCCCTGTAGACGTTGTCAACGTCTCCAAGCCGAACTACTCACCCCGGTAGAAGCTGAGCTCGCCGGTGGACAGGCTCAGCAGGAGTGGCATCAACATCAGCCAAGTGCAACCCCGATGAGGGAGCATCTTCTTATCGTCGACGTCGCCGTCGCCGTCGTGGTCGTCGTTGCTGCTGCTACTGCTGCTAGTGGTGGTCGGCTGCTGAAGGTTTCGCGCACGGGTCTTATCGCCGTTCTTCTCGCGTCTCCATATGCGAGAGAGAGCACGTCACTTCATTCAGGGCGGACGACGAGTTTGCGCGCTCGGCGCAGCTTTGCGTTCAATCAATAAACGACCACCACTGAGTCGCCCTTCCACTGGCTTCGTCACCTCGTTTCGTCTCGTCTCGACGCTGCATGAGAGAGAGAGAGAGAGAGAGAGAGAGAGAGAGAGAGAGACGCATACTCTCTCATTCTTCGAAGCGGCCCTCCGCCTCTTCCTACTCTTCCTCCTCCTCCTCCTCCTTTTCCTCTTTCTGCTCCTGTTGTCGCTCCGAGTCACGTTCCGCACCAGCGATTAGCATGAGAGAGCATTAGGCGTCATTAAGTAACCGCCACGTGCCCCCCACCCTCACGTGCCCGTATCCACACGTGAGGATTTGTTCCGGTTACCAGATCAGTTCCGACTTAGTGCGCCAGGACGTTCACCCTTCGATCCCGCTGGTGGTCGTTGGGACTAGTGCAGAGACGTTTCTTGAGATGTGTAATGGATAATTGGATGATGTTTTTCAGGTTGTATATTTCGTTCAAACTGATCAGTGCTGGATCATTAAGAGAAGTGGAGTGAGGATTTCGTTAAGTGGCGATTCTAAGTCGAGACTTTGGATCCGATGATGACAGGGATGATTTGTGCTTTCAGCTATATTCTATCGTCCTTACAAATACAAGATATATTTCCGCTTGGTAACAGCCATTTATTTCACTGACAAACAGTGACAGCAATAAAAGTACATCAATTCAACGCCTGACGCAGTTTTCCTTTTGATTTTAACGTATCACTGCGCTCCCAGCGAAGAATTACATTGATTCGTTACACTTACAGATGGTCGTAATCTTTAATCACATCGAGATTGACTATAATACGTTTAATTAACGTCTCACATACAGATAGCGTACGACGGCTTAGACTCGATAGACCAAAATCCAAAATTCTCGCGATTATTTCCTTTTGTTGGCTCGATTGACTGGACGATGGTAGTTGCGGAGTCAAGATTAGAAGAGGGTCGACGTCTATGCCGCCTTAACTATCGTCCATTAGCGACTCGCCCATCAGAGACTCGCCCATCAGCAACAATCGGATCGGCCTGCGTTTCTCATCGACCTTTTGTTTCTTCCTGCGATTGATCACACCGTCAGTGGAGTCCATCATTCGCAGTATCTGCGTCTGATCCGAATAGTCAGCCGGTGCAACCGAGATGTCCCGCACTGCTCTGAATTTCCCGCAGTTATTCAGGTGCTCGTTTTCCAAGCGGAAGAAGTTCCACACGAAACGCCTGAGGTAAAAGGAAAATATATCAGTGAAGTTAAGAAGATGTTATTATCTCGCTGGAACACGGCGCAGCTTTTGATTGACGACGTTACAACACTTATGTGCATTTACTAAGAAATATTTTATTAGGTTGGCGCAAAAGATTTGCAATTTTTTTTTATTAAATTTGTATATTAAAGTTTTTTATGAAATATTTTTATTAGATTTTACAAAAGTTGTATTAAATGAAATTGTCGTAAGAACTTTGAATATTAAAAAAATAGGAACTCCTCGTTTTTAGATGTCTAAAAAAATACCGAGTCGATGTTCATTTTATTCGTAAAAATTATTAGTCCTTCCAGACTGGACAATCTCGTTTGCTTTTTTATTTAACAAGCCTTTTGCACCGACCCAGCACATGTTAAACGTGCAAACTATAATAAATCATAATGCATTCAATAAGTGGGCTACATTTTGGTGTTACGAATTGAAATTGCAAGCAACTAATTAGGAAAAACATAAATTACAACGCATTAAACACTGAAGTCATAGGATCCCAACAGTTCTTCATTATCATCATCGTCGTCGTCATCGTTGTCGTCGTCATCGTCGCCGTTATTATCGTCGTCATAGTCGTTCGCACGATCCATCAGACGAATCAGATTCCTGAAGTTGTTCTCGTCGCGCTTTACAGGCCCTATGGAGATATCCCGCACGGCCCGAAACTTGCCTACGTTGTACAGATGCTCGTTCTCCAGCCGGAAGTAATTCCACGTGAACCTTCTAGCGACTCATTAGTAAGGCGCATTGACAAATGATTAGATCGGCTGGTAAATCGTCGATCAAGTCACCTTCGACTTTCGACGATCATCTATTCCATTACTGTACAGAGTGCGATCGAGATTAGAACATTAGGAGTAATTTCGGCGGTGCGAGTAGTGCTGCGTGCAAAATACGAACTTAAATATTGATATGTTGCGGGAAAAGCGAAACAGCAATCAAAATCGACAATTTGCATACGCCAAGTCAGCACGACCGATCGCATTTTAACAAATATTTGTCACATCGATCTTGGCATCCCAAATTCCACACGTGCACACGATTAATTATCGAGTCAAAGCATGTACTTACCTGAAGACCTCCAACGGAGCGACTATGGAGACCATAAGGTCCGCGTGAACGTATCCCATTTCCGTCAGGGACAAGGAAAACGCCCACCCGAATCGCAGAATAAAATCCTCGACTATCGCGAAGTAGTAATAGTACTGTAAAGTGGAGAAAAGTGAGAGTCATTGCTTAAATGTTACTTATTATTAGCGCAAGTTCGTTAGAAGAAAGTCAGCGCTTACGGGTGACGAATAAACTATTTCTTCCCTAAGAAACTTGTTCTCCCCGGCTCTGCTATCGAAGAGGCCCCAGTCCAGTTTCACGTCCCATGTGTACGTGAAACAAGAACTCACCATGCTGACTATTAGCCACAGGTAGAAGTAGGGATTCTTAGTGGACAGTGCGTAGTATTCTGTTTCGTAAGATACAAAAGAACAATATATTCTCTTAATAAACGGAGAACAGCCAACGTTCATGTAACTGAAAAGACTTACTTGAGCTTCTCAAGTGCAAATAGGAGAAGATGACCACGAAAAAGCTCGTTGCATATTTCACCGCATTGACCAGATGCGGGAAAGCCTCCTTAGTGTCTCGATAACGCCTGAGACATTGCGCGAACCGGAACCACGCCGGTAAACACGCGACGAACGGTCTCATCGATAGTTCGCGCATTATGCATGTCTCTGCATTTACTTGAGCGAAAGAAAGATGAGGTGAAACAGTGTATACTAGTTATACAGATGCTAAGGTAACAAATGACGAGTAAATTTTACTGACCTGTTACATCAGTCCAGGAAGAGTTCTGAATGTAGAAGCAGACAAAGTATTGAAAGTCCAGGAAGACCGTGTGGAGGGAATTGAGCTGATCAGCGAGCCAGAAGTCCGCGAAGCCTACGTAGAAGAAGGGCGCGCAGAAGATGCGACCCAAAACACGCAACGTCCAGAACCTGGCCTCATGCCGCAACGTTTTGGTGGGATTGAATAGGAACAAGGCCAGCAGCGCGTAAAACAGCACCTACGAAGGACTGAAGTTAATTCCTTGAGACAAAGAATCCCTTGCTCCATGAGGTATTCATCTTCAGAAAAGACTTCTTTAAAGGAAAAGTGTATCCTTCGCAATGAAAGAAACTTTGCACATTTCAAGAATAATATCTCGAATTATACTCAGAACATATGTTATCTTACTGGTTGGACAAACGGCGGTATATATAGCGTGTCGCTGTAGAGAAAGCCTAGAATAGACATAGACCAGACCAGGCCGAGTATGGCTGCCATTTCAATGATATGCTGGAAGCATAAATGCATATTGTAATTCATCATACACACGTACGTGTGTGATCCATCAGCGTTTTTATTTTTAACACTGAGTAGTTAATATTTGCCAGTTAAAATTAATACATGCCATTATATAAAGCTAATTTAAACGTATGATGTAATATCTATATATTTTACTTATATATCTTATTTATAAAATGTTAATTTTGTATGTCACCTGCTCTGATAAATGATTACGCGGATCGAGCTCGAATATCAGCACATGATTCACGCCAGAGGACCTCCAGCCGTAAACATTGACTCCCATGAGAAAGAGGAATTCTATCATGAGAAGTGGTCCACGATAAATCCGACATAACACCTTCCAGTTATTGTTGTTTTTGTATCGCATAGCTGAAATAACACATACAATCAATTTTTCTATTATTAGACTTTATGACTAACAATTATTACTAGACTCTATGATTAATAATCAAGCATAAGAAATTAAAATAATAGGCTTATGAGAGCTAAATATTGAATTAAAGTGCACAAAATTAATTATTTAACGAACCACAATTATTTAATAATTAATTACCTTTAATATCATAAGATCTGACAATATATTGGAGTCATAATGTTGTACTTATGATGGATTTGCGAATGTCACTGCGATTTTAACGTCATATCTTATGATATTACGGATAATTATTAGATAATAATGATTTATTGAATTATTAATAATTTTTATGTACTTCAGTCCATTACTTAGCTTTCTTATAGACCTATTAAATTCTTTTATATACGATACAAATACGTTGGATACAATGCAATACAAGTGTATTGCAAATATAATGCAAATAAGTCGGGTATAAAATATTATCCCATGTTAGAAAGCGAAAAGTAAATATATGTGTTTTGCTTACCGGAAATTATCACAGCTATAAAAAGTATGATGAATGCACCAGAGAAGAGGCCGACCTTGAAAGTAATCCACGGAGAAAGATGCTCTCCGAGCGGAGGCACTCTGAGCCGTTTCATCGCGCGTTGACGATCGCCTTGCTCCAGATCCCGCGTGAATAGAGTCTCGGTTTCCGTAATGAGTCTGTCTATGTCCGTGCGCGTGTGGAAGATCGCTGTGTCGACGTGTTCCGCCCGCCATTTGGCACCGATATCTACGCTTAGAAGCTACAAAATATCATTGCCTTGTATGTACCCATTTTCCAATTATGAGATTAATTCAACTGATTTCTTCAATTTACTTACAGTGCTGACTGAATTTATCATATGTATAAATTCGCGCACGTTCAATCTATATACCTTATCGTGCTTCTTCAATATCTTGCGGAATCCAGTGAAATTCAGATCCTGGTAATTTTGCAACAGAATCAATGAGAGGTAGAACTCAGAGAATGCCCATTTCAGCTTCTGCAGTTTGCTCGCTGACACTGGTTTCTTATGAAGGATATGACTGCGATAGCGTGCCTTGTGATTGCCAGTGTGATTATCCTCAGAAACTGATAAAATCTCGCTCAGTTCACTGTTGAGAGTTGCAAATTTACGTGTAGCCTCTGCTAGTTTCTCTGTGAAACAAATTATTGCTTTTATCTACCTTAATATCTTAGTACATGCTAAAATCTTATTCAGAGTTTCTGCTAATATTTCTTCTATAATATTATCTTTTTTAATACAGAAGTGAGAAAATGGTTTTACCAGAATAGAAAGTATTTATTTTGGTGAGTTCTTTATCACAGTAATGGAAAAACTTCTCGTCAAATTTGCTGAAGTAGCTTTCTAGTACATGAGTTTCGCTTACATCTGCTGATGGAGCTTGCTCCACAGCAGCGTATAACAGAGCCTTCATTTCCTGTGATACAATCAGAAACAATAAATAAATCTTAATGAATAAAAAGGAAATACACACAGTTCCAACAAACAGTACAGAAATATATAGAACTATTCTTATTCTTTCTCTAAGTTTTGTGTAAGTGTGTGTGTATATGTGGTTTATAAATATTCAGATATAATATATATAGCATATATATAGAATATACAAGACATACATACAATATACGTACGAAACACATAAATACAAAATACACAGAATATTGTATACAGAATTTTCCCATCTTGGAACTGCACCTCGTAGTTGATGTATTGCTTCCTCCATTCCGGCGTAATGTGAGCACTCAGATGCTCCGCGAATTTCATGTTTGCCGTCGAAATCGAAGTAATGTCAACGGTTACTCGACATCACAGCGCGCACAAGAGTTGATATACGCACAAACAGGCTCATCGCAAGTTATTTTTGGAGAGACAGCTTCGCCGAACGGTGCAAATTGACGCATGTTGTGTATGCTTTTATAGGTTATGTTATGTTAGTTCGCATTCCGACAATGCGCAGCGGTTAGAGTAGGTTCTTCGGTAGTTTTGTTACAAAAGAAAAAGAGTTACAAAATGTTGTGTAGATCTTGTAAATATATTTAAAAATCTTATAAATAAACGTATGTTTTGAGGTGCATTACAAACAGTTTATAAGTATGATTATTTAAAATAATGTGTTACACGTGTAAATGTTTATATATACTTTCTGTTTCTTGTTTGCACACAGATATTCCGATATTTCGACGAAGATCTACAGATTTGTTGATTGTTAAGTTGTAATAATATTTATAGAGTAAATATGGTGAAGTTAATTGTATCAAGGATACATTGTATGACATTTACATCTTTGCGATGTGTAAGTATAGCATATAATGACTATTCATTGGAATTATTTATATTTAAATATCTTAAATAAAATAAGTGCAATAATTAAATCTGTATTTAGTTCTCAGCAAAACCAAAAGTCATACTTGATGAGACAATCTCTTCTCTGTTGCATACTGAGGATATGAAGCATAAGAAACATCCAGGTATTATTAGGCCAAAGACACCAGTATTTCCTAACTGGGCGTCAAAAGAAATATCTGATATTTTGAAAGGTGTGGATTTTTAAATCTTTGTAGAATAAGCTTAAAATATTCATAACATACTTGATAGTAATATTATCCCAGGATATTGTTTCCAGACCACCAGGTATCTTTCAGTGAAATTAGGACAAGTGCACAGATGTTGCTCAATCATTTGAATAATCGTTGTCCACCACTACAAGAAGCAAAGCTACATGAAAAGTTATTAAGAGTGGAAGAACGTTTGAATGCTAACAGCAACAAAAAAATACACATAGAAGATATAGATTTCAATAAAAACCACAAAGCCAGAAATATCTTGAAACAGAGTATCTATAATTGGCAACCAATAAATTTTGATAAACTCACTTGTCTGACATACATGGTAAGCAGAACTGTTCAAAATTATGCAGTTTTGAGCAAAATTCTAAATGAGATTAGAGTACGTGATGAGGATTTCAAGCCTCAGACTTTGTTTGATTTTGGCTCTGGTCTTGGTACAGTCATATGGTAAGTGCAGAAGCAAGACAGCTGGGATTTAAACAATATGTAATGATATAGGACAAAATTAATTAACTCAACATGATAAAAATACAAATTGTCTGTAGGGCAGCATCAGAGATTTGGTCAAATTCACTAAAGGAATACTTGTGCATAGAGATATCGAAGCCAATGATTGAATTTTCTGAGAGATTAGCAAAAGCTGCTAAACCCAAGATCAAAAATATCTTTTATCGAGAATATTTACCTGTATCCATCAACGTAAGAGGACTTATGAAATAATATGCACTAAAATTTTCTAATAAAAAGATTTAACTTGAAGCATCCGTTATATATTTTCAGCCTACCTATGACATCGTAGTGAGCGCACATTCTTTGTTCGAGTTACCTGGTACAGAGGCTCGTCTTGAGACGATATTAAACCTCTGGCAGAAAACTGAACGCTACCTCGTTATTGTAGAACAAGGAACCAATGCAGGATACAAGGTAAGGTATGACCACTGACTTTTATTTAAATATCTTTATTGTTCTTTTTAACAAATTTTTATTCTCTTGTTTATTTTGAAAGCTAGTGAATGAAGCGCGAGATTTTATCCTCAAATATACGAACTCAAGATTCAAGCGTAATATCCGAAACGGCTATGTATTTTCACCAGTAAGTAGTAATTATAAATAACAGAAAACTCATCAACTATACATCAACTATATCTTGTTCTCTCGTTGTTACGACACAGTGCCCGCACGATTTGAAGTGTCCGAGGTTCGCTGGCAGCATTCCGTGCAACTTTGAAGTTTTATACAATCCGTTGCCGTTTCTCAACAAGAAGGAACACGAATCGGAGCTTTATTCCTATGTTGTGATAAAAAAAGGTACATAGATTAGCATAATGGCCTTAATACACGAAGTTGTACCTTTTTCTGGAAAGTATAATATATTTCTTGCGGAAAACTTTAAAATGGTATGGCTTCATGTATTAAGCCTATTATGCTGGCCTGTGTATGTAATTAAAAAAGAAAAGTAAAAATAACATCGTGTATGAATTGTTAATTAGAATTTGAGTTGCGTAACATAGCATGTTCGCTTAAATAAATTTTACTGAAATATTACATGATATGTATCTTTTGATAAAAATTCAAAATTTATGATTATAATTTCATGTTTCCTCCTTTCACAGATAAACGTCCTGAAAACGACGAGCAGTGGCCGAGAATCGTGCGACCTGTGTTGCATCGTAGCGGACATACGATTTGCCGTATGTGCGTCGCTAGTGGCAAACTGAAAGAAGAGGTCTTTACAAAAAACAAAAGCGGGAAGTACGTATCAATTGAATCTCAACTTGCTTGATTCTGGGAAGATTATATCAATTATTTTTGTCCTCAGGCACATATATTATTGCGCAAAAAGAAGTAATTGGGGCGACAGGTTACCTATACATTACGAGGAACCAGAGGATACTTTGGAAGGACATGAGATGACTAATGAAGAAACCAATGTAAAATAAGAAAATAAATTAAATTAAATATCTTTACAATTGTGTGTTATATATTGAAACTTTATCCATGGGAAGATAATTACTATCGACGCGTGCACTATTGCAAGGTTTCTGATATGATATTCGACAGATATGAATTACTCTATACTGTTAAATTTTGATTAAATTAAAATTCATATTACTAAAGTTCCGCTATGTGTCAATTGTGTCGATACATTAATTGCGTTAATGTTCCAAGCGAAAATATTTGAGACGAACACATGGGACGAAGAGGGGCATTTAAAAGCGGAACGACCGCTGGTCCACTGTCAGTACCGCTTATACAACGGACGAGAAAATTTCTCCAGAAACCAAGAAAACAAGGTAAGATAAATTCAAAGACTCAAAAAAAGAGACTACTTCAATGTTAAAATGTTCTTCTCATGGAACTTTTAAAACAAGATGACGATTATATAATATGATTTTCACCATTTGCTTGACACACGAAAAATTCATTTGTCTAATGTACGTATTATAATAAAAATAGATACACAAGGATTTTATACTTAATCATTTGTGCATATTTAACAAGTTATATGTAAAAAAGTAGTGTGTGTGTGTGTGTGTGTGTGCACTATATAAAAAAAGCAATTTTTAAATTCTACAATTAAAGGGAGAAAGAATAAAAATTAATTTTACAATTAATTTAAATAAATATATTAATTTTACAATTAATTTTAATAGAATTAAAAAAAACAATTTTTTTAAATTAAAAAAATTAAGTTTTTAAAACTAACAATACATATTAAAATGAAATTTAAAAAATAAAACATTTTTAAAATTTTGCAATTAAAATTTTTTTTTATTAAAATTACATTTTATTTTTAATAAAATTACTACTACATTGTAATATAGAAATATGTAAAAAGTATATTAATGTACATGCAATTGTTTATAATAATTGTATTTTAAATCAGCCTGTGTGTGTGTATATGTGTGTGTGTATGCATTGTATCCGTTACTGTAATCATATTCCGAAACTCCGAGCGCGTCGGAAGATGCATCGAATTCCGCGGATACTATGCCCGAACTAAATAGATTTGAGAAGGGAGGAGAATTTGAAAGTGATCACGACAAACATCTTGTGTGCGCTGGGCGAAGTGCTATTAACTGTGCATCCATTATGCAACGAGTTATTGAATAATGGAAGTGACGGTGCAACTGCAAGTAATGCATCGGTTCTTCCGTATCCAACTTTCTCCCATGATCAGCATTCATACTGACATCCGCATTTCACTTTCTTCCCGAAAGTAACTTCACGCGTGCCACACACGTATTCATAATGTATATGCGTGGAGGGGTACTGTTAGTACAATAAATAATCCGTGGGGTAAATCTCGATTGTGTGTAACGTTTATCTCAAATTCTTTCGCCAGACGTATCCAAACCTATTGAGAAGACGGATCGGAACGTATTTTCTGGAATTTATATTTTCAAGTTAATAAATTGATCTCGCAAATTTTGAGTCTTATTTTTCATTTTGCGATATAATCATTCTTTTTTTATAGTTTTTCAATGTGTTGTATTTTAATAAATTTTAATATGTTATAGAGAGAGAAAGTGAAGAATTTTCTCTAAAATGCTTGCCACGGCGATGTTGTTGCTGATCCTCTTATTGTTGCTGTTGTATCTAGATTGTCGGAAACCAAAAGGATATCCACCAGGTAACTCACTCCGTTCGATCAATTACCTATTCAACTATCTAACATTATTCAGATAAACAGAGATACTGAACATAACATACAAAACATTTAATATATATTTTATTTAATATATATTTTATGATACTATTGTAACAGCATAACGTATTTAAAATATGGTTGTTATATTATGGTTTAAGAAATACCCATTTATTATGTCATAATTTTAATCGAAATATTTACTTTTTGTCAATACAATAATTCCGGATTATTTGCATTCTCTTTCCGACAAAATAAGTAATAATGTTCATGGAGTATCACATGATTTCTTTTATATACTAAAAAAATTCTTGTTGTATGAGGAGACGCATCTTTGCCTAGTACTAATTATTAAACAAATAATATGTTGAAATATGTATATCTGAGTATTTACCTCAGTAATCAGTCCTTATCTCTGTCCCGTGTCTTGCTAGCACGAGTCTCTAGTGGTTATCCAATTCGCCAGGTAGTCTTTGCTGTTGCTTTACCAATAATTCTCTCTTCTTTCCGATCACTGCTAACGTTCTTCGTCGTCCTCAGGCCCAAGATGGTGGCCTGTCCTGGGGAGCATATTGGAAGTGGCACGCATTCGTCAAGAAGCCAAGTATCTCAGCAAGAGCTGTCTGATGCTTTGTAAGAAGTACGGTTCGGTAGTGGGTCTGAAGCTTGGCAAGGACCGCATCGTCGTCTTGAACGATCAAGAAAGCATACAAACGATGCTGAACGACGAGAACTGCGACGGCAGACCGACCGGACCTCTGTATGAGGTCAGAACTTTCGGCCGTAGACAAGGTAATCGTTCATTCTGCGGAAAAAAAAGAAGGAAGTCAGTCGAAATTTAGCTCGATAAAAAAATTGTCCAAACATTGTACAATAATAGTATCATGAAATGAAGTATAATTTTGCAACAATTGCGTTAAGATAATTTGCCACAACGCAACGGTTTTGTTGGAATATAATTTCAAGATGATATTTGTCCACTATTAAACAGATATAATATAATTCAGGATATTTGTTTGCGATATTATTGCACAATTATTTCAATATTTAAAAACAAAATTAATATCCTGAATATTTCTCACAATGCTGCAGCAACATTTTGCAATTGTAGTATTACAAATTGTATTAAGATTTCGTCATATAATTTCATAAATATTTTTCTATCGGAATAATTCGAGAAGCTGGACATTAATAAACAATTACCTCGCGGCCAGGTCTCCTCCTTGTAGACGGGCGATTGTGGACGGAGCAACGGAGATTCGTGATGCGGCATCTGCGTGACTTTGGCTTCGGCCGTAACACCATGGCCATGATCACCGAATACGAGGCTCAGAAGCTGGTGGAGCATTTCAAGAAGTTGCTGCAGGGTGATTGCGGCCATCAGATCACCGACATCCAGAGATTGACGGTGAACGAGAACAACAATATCGGCCAAATATACAAGCTGCAGAAGGAGCCGAATGACCTGAAGAAGCTGAGCGAAGAGTCTAACGTAATCGAAGACAACATCGTCGAGAAACGTGCAACGACGGTAGCGGACTTGTATGTAAAGGCCGAGGACTACGCCGAGGTTCGAAGAATCGCTCAATCGGCAGGAGTCACCGTGGCTATGCACAATGCCTTTGGGGTGACTGTACTGAACACATTGTGGAGGATGATGGCTGGCAAAAGGTGCACATTGTTTTCTGGATTATCCTTGTTCATCCATAAACTGCCTGTACAGTCTGAAAGCAGGCATAGGCGATTAATGTTCGTTACTTCTAAATTCATATTAATAATCGTTGAAACTCCTCTTAAGTGAGTTCAGAGTTAGATGAAAATGTTTCAGTTGAATCGCAATTACAGGTATAGTGCCTATACATATATAATTCAACTGAAAAATTTGTATCTAACTCTAATTGAAAATCTGAGTACGTCACATAAGATAAGTTTCAAGTGACAACTATTAATATGGCTCTTAGTAAACAAAAAAACATTGAATTAGCATCTTGAAATACTGACTTTATATGTATTTTATTTTTATATGTAATATTGATTTTAATAACTTGAACGTTTTGGCGTTTTAATATTTTAAAAATATTTTGAAGATGTGTTGCGGATAATGCGATCTTTTTGAATATTGCAAAATATTTTAGAAATATTAAAATGTCGAAATTATTTGTAATGATGCTGATATATATAACGTTAAAATATATATCAGAAAATGTGATTGAAGATCGTTGCAATAACGTCCTATTAATGATTTTTTGCTTATTGGACTAATTTTCACGCAGGTACGATACTAACGACAAGGGACTCACACATCTACAGAGAATCTTCATGAAGCTCCTAGAAGAAGTCGATATGATTGGCGCGCCTTTTAGTCACTTCCCAGCGCTGTGCTTTATCGCGCCAAAAATGTCTGGCTATAAGTCGTATTTGGAGACACATCAGGAGCTGTGGGCATTCGTGAGAGTGAGTGGATATCGTAAAAATTTTATCTGATTAGTATCATCCAATTTTTTCTTTTTTGTCTTCTATCTATTATTATATACATTATTTATATACTCAATACTTAAGAAAATGATTTTGCAGTCATAGTAAAAATTATCTTACAAGAAATTAAGATGGATAAATAACTAGCAAACACTGTGCGCATATGTTTTGTATTTAATTAATATAGCTGACAGAGGCAGAATTTATATTTTAACTATTTGTAAAATTTAGCAAGAAAGTCTCTCTGTGGCGCCCATCCAGATTAATAATTGGCAACAGAACCTAATTTTGCTTGTAGATTTTGCAGCCATGCTGCTACTGTAAATTCTACGTACCAGTGACAATTTTATAGCAGATGCAACAGCAGTAAATTTCAACTGTGATATTTAGAATTCTATTTGAACCAGCAAAATACCTTTCTGAATGAATACAGTTGCTACTGTTATTATTATTATTAAAGAATCAGTCATACGAAGAAGCATCTTGATTCTCAAGAAAATTGTTAAACAATCATGATCTCTTTTTTAGGAGGAATTGTATAATCATAAGAACACTTTTGTGTTAAATGAACCGCGAGATCTGATGGACGCCTACCTCGCTGTGCTGCATTCGAAGGATCATAGTGACACGTTCTCAGGTGCATATAAGTTGTATGGTTTGCAAACGACTATTATTATTGGGAATAACTTCTTTCGCACTTTCTAATAAAATCAATTCCAGAAACCCAGCTCTTGGCGATTTGCGTAGATCTCTTCATAGCGGGCTCGGAGACAACTTCGAAGTCGTTGGCCTTTGGGTTCATGTACCTGATATTGTATCCAGAAGTTCAGAAGAAGGCGCAAGAAGAAATAGACAGAGTCATTGGTCGCGACAAATTTCCCACGTTGGCCGACCGACCCAGGTAGACGCTGTTGGTTTTTTTCACGTGGCCGCAATTGCATGTGATTCTGAAAGCGAGAGAGTTTCTTCCGCTTGAACGAGAGTTTTTGCTCGGAGTGTCATCTGTATCTTTATTTTCCAGTATGCCGTATATGCAAGCGACTGTCCTGGAGTTCATAAGGATGTTCATAGGACGTTCCTTGAGCGTGCCGCGTCGATCGTTGAAGGACACTTTTATCAAAGGCTATAAAATACCTAAGGTGCGACGCCACAATATAGATGCAACGTTTCGCGAGTTGACGTAGGTAAACCAAATGATTATTGTCTCTTTCAGGACACAATGCTCGTCTTGAATTTCTACAGTGTATGTATGGACGAGTCTTGGGGCGATCCGGAGAATTTCCGGCCGGAAAGATTCCTTGACGATAACGGCAACGTCTTCATACCAAAAACTTACTTCCCTTTCAGTATGGGTATGTCTTTCCTTCTCAAATAAAATAATTACAAGGATCTCAAGAGCCAATACACAGATATTATGGTAAAAACAGAAAATAATTTCTAGATAGTCGAGAAAATAAAATGGATCATGAAGTTATATGATTTCAATATATTTTGTTTCTTGATTATTTAGAAATCATTTCATGTTTCTATCTGCACTATCTGCACTATAATATCTGTATATTAGCTTTCATAGACACTTGTAACTATTTTAATTAGACATTAAAGAACCTTATAAAACTTATTTATATCTCCTTCATGTTGTTTTGCTGTTGTGATGTGTCAACAAATTTGTTACCATAGCTTACTTGGGAAATTCTCTTTTTACAGACTACAATGTATTTGTTTTTATGTAATTGTGTAATATAAATTTAGTTTGTTTATGTGGACATAAAAAGAAGAATTGTCGCTGTCACACATACGTGACGTTGGTGACGAACGTGCTGAGCAGAATTGAGAATTTTGAGTAACGACGAGCTTGAAATGAGAGATGAATACATCACGTATATATGATAACGAACGTGTTAAATCTACGAGATAAAACGAGATAAAACGATATCCTTCAGCTTTACGTTTATACTTTGCAGGCAGACATCGTTGCATGGGCGAGGCATTGGCCAAAGGCAACATCTTTCTCATAACGACCACCCTGCTGCAGGCTTTTAACTTCTCCGTGCCTCCCGGCGAACCACGACCGTCCGAGCAAGACTACATGGACGGCGTCACGCCTGCTCCTAAGCCGTACAGAGCGTTAGTCTGTCCGAGAACGTAATCTTGAAGAGTTGTATAGGATATTGTTTCTAGAACAAACGGCCTCTACGTTTGCTCATTCCGGTCTCGATGCCGTTCGCTTTGCTCTAATTGGCATTTTAAAAATAAGGTCATCCTTTCCATGACTCCCACCCGTGAATCATATTTCACAAAGATTGTAAAAGATAACGAAAAAATACGCAACATGACGAATCGTAGATTTTTTTCTTGTACACGACTTCGTCAGAAAAATATATTTTTTTAATATCATTATATGTATATGTAGGAGCATATAGGTATATATAATATATATGTATATATATAAAGAAAGCTACGCGAAATAAATAATTGTACATACATTAGAAGAATATAATTTTCATATCACCGTTTGCTGTCGGGCGTTAACAAACATCCATGTCGACGCGCCTTCTCCGGCGTCGTACATTTAATATAATATATAATAAATTACAGACTGCATACGTACACACATTCACAGAGATTGCACATGTCAAGTGAATTTTATATATATATATATATATATATAAGTGAATTATATACATACATACACACACACACACACACCCACACAATATATATATATATATATATATATATTG